AGAAAGCTGCAGCTGATTCAGAACACCGCTGCTCGAGTCCTCACTAACACTAAGAAAGTGGATCACATCACTCCTGTTCTGAAGTCTTTACACTGGCTTCCTGTGTGTCAAAGAATAGATTTCAAAATACTGCTGCTGTTTATAAAGCACTGAATGGTTTAGGACCAAAATGCATTTCTGACCTCCTGCTAAATGATGAACCATCCAGATCTCTCAGGTCTTCAGGGACTGGTCAGCTTTCTGTCCCCAGAGTCAGAACTAAACATGGTAAAGCAGCGTTCAGTTATTATGCTCCAAATATCTGGAACAAACTCCCAGAAACCTGCAGGTCCGCTGCAACTCTTACTACTTTTAAATCCAGGCTGAAGACTTTTCTTTTTGTCGCTGCTTTTAATTGAACTATTCATATCATAGACTGCACTGTAACTTTTATCCATGTATTTTTTCTTTTAATGTTTATTTTATTAGCTTTTCTTTTTAATGACTGATTTTAAATGCCATTTTCTAAATGTCTTTAATTTTTTGTAAAGCACTTTGAATTGCCTTGTGTTGAAAAGTGCTATATAAATAAACTTGCCTTGCCTTGCCTTACAATAAAAAGTCCTGCAGTCAAAATGTTACAAGTAAAAGTACAAAAGTGTTAGCATCAACATATACTTAAAGTACCACCTGCAGAGGGATCTAGATTCAGGTGATCTTTTCCCCATAGAGACCGCCTCGCTGCACATTATCCCTTGCATAAAGATGGATTGTGGGTCCCTTGTAACATGGAAATAAACAATCTGGTCACCTCAACATCAGGGATCTTATACATTAAACTCCTTCTGAATCAAACCGTCACGGTAGCCTTACCTTACTGATCCCTCTTCAAATAGAAAAAAACACGTTACTTTACCAACAGAGAGAAAATTGATTATTACATTATTAATTTGACTAAGAAAGAGCAGTTTGATTAGTAAGTGTTATTCTGTTGATCGATGTCATTATATTTGGTGAAAAGCACATAATGACTTGTTTAAGACTCGTTTTGTCAAAGTTTAGGACTTGGACTTGACTTGAACTTGCCCATCCTGACTTGAGACTTGACTCGGACTCGAGCGCAAAGACTTGAGACTTGACTCGGACTTGCAAAACAATGACTTGGTCCCACCTCTGGCCCTTACCCTGTATTCCACCGGGTCACCACAGCGCCGCGGCGCAGACGGACCCGGTTGCCGTTTAGGAACCGTTAAGCAGAACCGAAATTGTGTATTTTGTATGGGTACCTGGCATTTTCTTATCGGTTCTCATCTGGAACTGAGTTTCGGTTCCCAACCCTACTGTCTACTTATATTTCTCATATTTTGAAATGTATGTTTTATTGATGTATTTCTACCCACATACTCACCTCCACCTTCTCTTTTTTTCCTTCCCTCCTAGCCAAATGGAAGATTCGAAGTTGGGAAGAAAATTTGTTTGAGCATCTCTGGCCACCATCCAGAGACATGGCAGCCCTCTTGGAGCAGTGAGTTTCCTCCAACTGAATTATTTTCAAATTCAAAACAACTTTATAACCCACAAAGAGGCAATTAGGTACGAGCAGCTCAAAGCCAAGTCCTAGTTCCCAACATTTAGCTTATGCCCCCAGTTTCTCTAATTTGTAATAAGAATCAGTCTAAATTGTAGAACTAAACATTTTTATAAACCGAGGAATTGTCTAGTAAATGTATGGGAAACTATTGATGCTCTGTCTTTACTTGTAAGTTCATGCACAGTTTGATTTAGTGTGTTCTGGAGAGGAATCTTGAATGATCAAAATATTTTATTGGAAAAAAAAAATAATTCACCTTAATTCAAATAAAGTGAAAAGTGTGATTCGCAAATATAAATAAAGGTCAATTAGTAAGAGAGGGGTTGCAATTACTGTACTCTAATGGCTCACATTGTACATTCAGGCTTATGTACATTTTATAGTACTTCAGCTATTAGTACAACTTCTTAGGGTACATTCACCACTCTGCTGATCGAGGATCCTATCTAAACACAAATACTTTATTCATTCAACCGTTCATTCTAAACTACTTTGACATTATTTAGCTCTGTTAAGCTTCAATCAATGAAACTCAGCATGTCCTGCAAATGTTTCATATAAAGGAACAGATGAAGTTATGAACATTGCAGTGCAGGCTTTCATTTTGAAACATACAGTATGTGCAGGAAGTGCTGGGTTTTAGAGGATTCGTCCTGAGGGAATGTACATTATAATAAAGTTAACAAGACAACATGGAAGAAGTTTTGAGTTTAACAAAAGTATTAAAACAGGATCTGATCAGAAAACAGAGGCTTCCAACTAACACACCTGACAATTTGACAGGAATCACCTTTAACCAGAGTTGAAGGTGCTGTAGTCTTTGGGTGAAATGAAACCTGTTGGTCTTCAATCTCACATGACAGTACTCATGCAGAACATGGACCGGCTATGATCTTCAAACTCTGTTTATAATTTAAAAAGTGTATACCAACACATTGCCACACCAATATGAATCATGTCCATTGGCCAATGACTGTTGCTCTGACTTCAGGGTCCTATATTTTTCTGGGTATTTTCTTGGAATTAACTTTATATCCTTAGTGCTGGCCATTCCAAAATACAATATGCTTGAGTTCTTGTTGGTAAAACTGTTAATAAATTCTCCTGAGAACTCATTGTCATTCTCTGCAGGGGATTGGACCTTTTCAGGGTTCTGCTTTTTTAACTAACTTTGTGGCATTTAATCAGGAGAAACTCAGTGGGAGCTACCATCCTACTATTTAAACAACTAAATCAATCAATCAATGTTTATTTATATAGCCCAATATCACAAATGTTACATATTTGTCTCAGTGGTCTTCACAGTTTGTACAGAATATCAGTATGACAATACGACACCCTCTGTCCTTAGACCCTCACATCGTACAATGAAACACTTCCAGAGAAAACCCACAGTTTAAAGGGGAACATGGGAGAAACCTCAGGGAGAGCAACAGAGGCAATTTGTGCTCTTCGATCCAGCGGCAGTGATTCCAGGGATATTGACAGTTGAATACTTTTCTACCACACATTTAATGTTAGTAATTCAAACTTTCCCTTTGACCTTGGAATAGACACTATATACTTTGATTCATTCATGAATACGCTTATTTCTATATTTGTTATGTTTTCCTGGTCTGTAGTTAAAACTTTTTGTATTTATATAAAATATTATACTAATATAATATTAACAGTAAGGGCTCTAATATTTGAATGTCCAATCAGCCATAAGTTGTGCCATTGCAGGACTAGAGGAGCGTTCTAGATCAGAAACCGGTTTATTGACAAGTAGGTAAACACATACGAGTAATTTTCCTTGGTGTATATGGTGTATCCATAAAAACAGTTAAAGAAGATAAAAAGTAAGAAAAACAACCCAAAAAATTATTATATATTATTTTCTTTTTTTTTAAAACGTGTATACATTAAGATATAAAAAATGATTACCATGAAATCTGGATATAGCCAAAGACAATGCATTGTAATGAAAAGTGGAAGGCTGTGTAGATAATAAGAGAGGTTGCTTGTGTACAAATGTGCAAAATATTCTGAGGGTAGTGCATAACTGGCAATTTTGTAAAACCTGCAGTACTCAACTCAATCCTGCATAAATCCTTTAATCCTTGCTATATCCTTATATTCAATGTTTGCTTGTTATCATAATACAATCAAATGTGGATAACCTTTAAGGTAGGCTTATCTTACTAAGACAGTCAGATATAATGGGTGTCCAGATACTTTATTGGATATTCTGGAGCTCAGACCAAACACAGCAGTCATAACACAGACACAAACAAACCTTTGACCTTCACCATATTGTCCAAAGTGTCCTGTGCCAGCTGGAGAATGTGTGAGCACAGACACAAGGTGGATGTCCACATAGGCCAGGGTAAATCCATGCTTACGTCCAGACAACAAAGCGCCATTCTTACTTCTGTAACACAGGCACAGAACATGACGACATGTGCAACATTGTGTTATTTAACCTTCTCTGATTCCCTTTTTGTGCTCGGATTTTCAATGTTTCCTTTTGTTTTTATCTTTCAGTTCGTACCGCCCTGATAGCTATAATCGGATTCATGCCAACAAAAGGAGAGGGGGCCATAGGATCTCTCGATTATACTCCAGAAGAGAGGAGGGCCCTTGCCAAAAAGTAAGATTTACTAAATGCATATCCTTCTATTGTTCACACTCTGCAGGGCGTGACTTGTGTGCTATGGCTAGAGACTGATGAGGTGAGTGGTGTGGAGCAGTTAACGTATAGATGATATGGTCTTGCATGCTGGATTAGCAAACAAGTCAAGGATATGGACAGTGCCGCCATTAGATGCATGATGCTAGTCAGAGGGCATAAAGGGCTTGTTTATGTTAGTTGGTTGGACATTGTTGACATCATTCCGACCGGACCAACCAGAAGACTCTTGGTCTTGTCTGAATGAGCTTCACCACTCATTGAGACAGCTGTAGAGGGAGGTGAACGATCTGCCAATGGAGGTCAAAGTCAGACACTCACTGGCAGCAACATCCAGAGTCCGACATTCCATCTTTCATCAAAGATAGGAACTTTGGTTTCTGTTTCTCATTTACTATATTCTTCCATTGTGAGTTAATTCTCACGTAGGATAAAGCAGAATCATGTTCAACTAAAAGCGCTGAGCAGCCTCACAAAAACAGAAGAGCGCTCTGAAAAAAGCAGGATGCAAAGTTTTTCTCAAGGCAGCCGCATGCAACGACATGGGCTAACTCCTCATAAACAATGTAAACAAACACTGGTGCTCACAAAGAGGCGCTATGTGGACACAGGCCCTAAGAAAGAAAAAGTCATACAAGAATGTAATGTAATCAGCACCTGAGCCTCGGCGGACATGCCTCCCACTAATAACTTACCAGTCACAAAGGGAGAAGGATGTGCCCAAGCCAGTCTTGGTATTACAAGATGAAAAAATGCATTATCGCCAAAATACCCAGTCTCTGGAGGGATCATGAGTGGGCATGTTGCTCTTCATTTCACACCGCATTTCGCTCGGGAGACACGGTACAAAGCCAGCGATGGCGAGGATCCAGCTAAAGTTGCTTTTCTATTAGCAGAGGAGACGGGGGTCTTGATCAGCTGCCTGTTTCATTATGAGACGGAGATGAGATACACAAGAAGACACACTTTGCTATAAATACATGGCTGCTTATCTCCCTGATGGAAACCCACTTTTTTAAACTCTGTCTAAGGTTGACGCAGCAACTTTCTTTGATTTCTCATTTTCTGGTTCCGTTCCCACTGTGATTGTGAAGGCTGTCATTTATAAAGAGTCCTCTGCACGGCAGGATGTTTTCAGAGTTTGCTGAGTCTGTAACTGACAAGTAAACTGTCAAAGTAATGTTGCAGGGCAAACACAGGGGGTCCTGTGGAGAATTGAGAAGTCTCAGAAATGAATATGAAAAATGTCAGTCATTTCTGGCACCGGAGGACACATTTCATTACCAGAAGAACTTCTCTCATTGCATTTTGTGATGATCATTGTTAGAATTAAGTTACAGTGTGTGGATATAGTTGCTTACATGTGTTTTAAAGATATTTTCTTTGACAAAGATGCTAAAAAAGTGCCAAATGTATCTTTTGATCTCTGAAACTGGTCGGAAAAAAGTCAAATCCTCAATCATCTCCTTTGTTTTTCACTGTGAGTTATCCTAGGAGTCACAGTGTTATTGTGATAGAAAGGAAAAATATAATGAGATAGACCAAAAATGTGTGTGAAGCGTGTGCAGTTATTGATTAAAATAGAGCCAGCTGAGAGACGGATGACTGATGGACGCTGCTGAAACACTTCCTGTGTAGGTACGTCTTTGGAAAGGGACCAGCTTGGCAATCCCAAGGTAAATCAGATGAAATCAAATACTCTCTTACTTTTATAACCTTTATATTAAATGTTGTTTATTTTATTTAGTGTAAAAGCCCAACCTCTCAGTTGATAAATAGTGTTATGCTATATTGCAGTATGCATTTTCTTTTTCCACTGGGCAAATATGCCAACACTATCTCCTCTGCTTTTTACACAGCTTCCAGTTGTGTGTCTTGTCCTGTGAATCGCCTGAGGCGGGATAAAGGGGGACATTGTTAAACATGCCACGGTTAAACTGAGCAAAGTGCAAGAAAGCGCACTTAGTTCTCACAAGCATGTTCTTCCCCTTCGTTTATAATTATCAAAGGCTTTTTAAAAGTTTGAACGGCATTTCTATCATAGTAGTTTGTTTGGTTTTGGCTCTACTGCTTCATTTTAGAAAATACTGGGTCACACACTTTACGAATCTAAATAATTATGAAATAATCAACTAAATAAGGAATAACATCTAAACTGCTGTCCTCTCAGTGTACGTCTCAGAATTGACATCCCAAACCTCCAGTCTCTGCCCTTTTCCCCCCAGCTCGGATGTTCTCCTGATGATCGGCACTTACGCCTAAAAGGATTTAAACAGTCATTCTAGTGAAGAACCATCGACCAACCACGGTGCCTGTCTGCATGGTGTCCGCTTTATAGACTGCCTGTGGTGTGGTGTGGTGGTGACATGGTGACTGGAGGCAAAACGTCTGTTGCCTAATAAGCCCAGCTTCTCCTCCAGCTACATCCTAATTTCACTTGAAAATAATTCAATTTCAGTTTGGCTCCAGAGGAAGACAGTGATTGGGATCATTTGACAACATAATGTATCCAAATCTTTCCATGCCACCTTTAGCCTGCGGAGCGCGGCGGTGATGACATGGTGTTCCTCAGAGCATGATTCATCCCTCCTCTACATCGCTGTGACATCATCCCATTAGCCGGTGCAAGGGACGATTAGTTTCTCTGAGACAAATGTGCAGAAACCTTTGTAATGTGTTGCATTTTTGTGTTTTTTTACCTAACTGCATTAAGAGGCTGTGGTGATCCTCCTCATAGCGCTGTCAGGACTGACATGAGGGCGTGAAGGTAACATAACAAATCTTTAACGCGGGCCTGACATTTGAATGTGCCGCAGGTGGAGAAGGCAAACTGAACCTGTCAGCCAATGAGGCACTATTAGGAAGACAACAATGCAAACAGACAGCCAGCTCCAGGAACACCACCTTCATTTACACACACGGCTTGTGTGCCAGTTTGTTGACAGGATTCATACCCAGCTCTGAAAAGTACAGGCAGCTGCTCAGTCTACAAATCTGTATAGTATCATAACCAAGGAGCCAAATTACCAATGGACCAGATGACAGTACTTTTTTCTTTTCTTTTTTTTACTAAGTGCCACCCACTACACAGGCAGCACATAAGTATAATTTTATTTTAACGCGTCCTTTTATGCTTTTTTTTTTTTTTTTTCTGTCCTAGTGCGTTATATAGGTTGTGTGTTATATAGCTAGTGTGTTTTATAGGTTTTTGGTTTATGGTCTGAAAGGCTAAAATCCCAAAGTTTCCTCCATAGGGACTTTCTCTTACACACATTAAAGCATGGAAACATGTCACAGTAGAGCCACTCAATACGAATATCAACCTTAAAATGAGCATAATATGGCCTCTTTAAAACTGGTACACTGCTCCACAATAATTCTGTGTTTATCTTTGAGGTAACATCACGTTGAAGAGGAACTTTTGGGAAGTCTTCACCTCTTCGTGTGGCTTTTTGACCACTTGGAATTCACTTTTAGGGTTAGAAGGGTTAGGTTAGCATTGGGTTTAGTTGCATAGTTTGATTTACATAGCTGTAACCTCTTTAACTGTGCATGGTGATATCTGTTCTGGAATTACACCAAATCGGATTTGATCAGAGCTTTGCACTGTAAACGGAATAATGGAAGGGGGCGTCTTCTTCCTATAAAGATACCTAGTTACACTGACTAAGCGGTACATGTAAGTCAAGAATGTTGTAGTTGTGTTTCTCAAATCTCTACAAGGGAGGTTGGGAGAGAAACTGCAGCCTAATAAAGAATTAGAATGGACACATTCAGGACAAAAAGAAAAGGGAATAAATATCTTCAGGATTTTACTCAAATCACAGAGCTATGACATACATATTTAAGATATTGTGTGTGGTTTTACAAAAAAACAACTAATTGCACTCCATGATCAATTACAAGCATGAGCTGTTGTAAAATTGCAAACCATAGGGTGACATTTATCAGTGAAAAATTGAATTAATGTACAAGCTGGTGGGCAATAAATCAGGTAAATGTTTGCAACTTGGCAGGTACACCTGCGGTACTGTGGCAAGTCAGCCAGAACAATTATGTTGGCACCATTCATAATTTACAGGTCATTTATTTGAACCACTGCCATCGTATCGACAGTAACACAAATAATCAGTTCAGGCTTGTTTTAGTAAGGCTGTGGAAACAGAATTACAGTACATCCAAAAATGAATCAAGTAATCTAGGCTAATAATTGGAAACACTGAATGTCTATTCTAACAGAAATATCTCCCAAAGTCCCCCAAAATAAAATGGGTTAAGCCTACTTTTTTAAATGTCACCTAAAGACTCATCTTTTTAGGTTAGCTTTTATTAGCGACACCCCACTTTTAAATGGTCTTTTATTATTTATTTATTTGTATATTGTTTTATTTATTTTAAATGTTTTTAATTCTATCATTTATTTTACAATTTTATTAGCAACACTTTTGGTCTTTTTTCCTTTTATTATTCTTTTTATTTTATAGTTTTTTATTATTGTCATCTGATTTGGCATCTTATTTTTTTAAATTTTTTTTAAATGTATAGGTTTTTATATGTTATAGTTTTTATTGGTTTTGTCTTCCTTTATTTTACCGAGAAGGATCATGATTTATTTAAATGTGTATTATCTTTATCTTACCTCCTGTGTCTCCTAAACTGTCAAACCGTTATATCATGTTGCTACACTGCATATGTGCTATACGGTTTTAATGTCTGGCCTGATGTGATATTCTTCTTCTGTTTTCGTTGTGTTGTGTGCCTTGGTGTTAAAGCACTTTGAGCTGCACCTGGTGCTATACAAATACAGATGTATTATTATTATTATTATTATATTATCAAGAGGAGAATAAAAAGTGCTCCTGCAGCAGGATGACCTCACCATGTAACATGTGTTGTCCTGCAGGTCCCAGGACTTCTGCTGTGAGGCGTGTGGGGGGGGCTCCATGCGCTCCGCCCTCCTGGCTCTAACCCCCAACAGTGACCCCAGCGCAGAGGACGACCAGGCTAAAGAGCTGGCTCAGCAAATCAACTTCAAGGTACAGATGCTGGCTGCAACACGAGGGCTGGACAATAAACATTCATAACAAGCTCTTACCCTTCATTATTTTTCACAATTGTTTCAATACTGTCTGATTCAAATGAGAAAAACTCCTTTGTGTTTATCTGAACAGTCAAGAGAAATCAAGGCTTTATTTGAAAAGTATTTTAATTTCAATTTCAATTGTGTTTGCTGTTCATGTAAACCCAACACAAAATCAGTACCAAATTCATTTAATCCTCACAACTCTGCTGCTCTGTCTCTTCTTGACGACAGCAACGTGTGGTCATCAATACAAGTCTGTCCCTGACTAACTGAGTGAGGAGAACAGTCCAAGCGTTTGTGAAAACAGAGGCAAAATGTACTCCATTGTGAATGGGGAAAAAAAGGAGGATTTTGTCGGTCATTAGACTTGTGATTTCTCTGTATTAAGCTCTCTTTGCATCAACCACAGCCATACTCACAACCAAAACCCTACTAACACTTTATAAATACTTCTTCTAATACAGAAATACAGATTTCTTTCTCCAATTAATCCTGTACCTACCATTTTGTTTTCATTATTATTTATATTTTGTAATGTTTCTAGTGCAGTAACCGTTCAGGATTTGCTTGTGTTGCTGCTTTGTGGGTTTCGTAGTGAGTCCATGATGCGTATATTGTAGAGTTTCTACCTTTTATAGAAACTCTACAATATACGCATCATGAGTGCAAATTATAGCTGAATGCAGCTTTAATAATAATAATGGATTACATTTTTTATTAGAGCGCTTTTACATGTGCTCAAAGCGCTTTACAAATACACATTACACATATTAGACATGTAAGAGTCATTACTGTGGACATTACCAACAGGAGCAAATGCGGATAAAGTGTCTTGCCCAAGGACACAACGGCCTGAAGCAGTGGCGGCCGAGCTTTGATGCACACATCTAATACATGTATATCTATTTGCACCTTAACAGCTTAGAGCAGGAGGTAACCAAACTCTGGCAATGGTTCTGGGTTTTTCACAGTTTTCTGCAGAACTGCTAATCCAAAAACATTTACAGGTGCTCTCTTTCGTCTTGTCCACAACAACACACACGCTAAACATGAAGTAGATCAGTCCGAGGATGGGAGACATAATCAAAACGCTTATACATACACATAAACAGACCCATGGGTATTATAGTATGATGATGTTGCCACGTTTGATGGATTGCTGCAGCAGCATGTTCAGCTGTTCACTGCACAGTTAAGCTTATTCTGTTATTTCATTTATTGGCCTTTTTGTAAAGGACCACATGGGAAAACAGCTTGGTAAAGTGTTGGGTTTCTGTTGAAGCTTAACATTTTCAGAAAACTCTACAGATTGTCATTGAGGAATGTGGAATTATGTCTCAAACAAGGGTTCAATACTGTCAAAGACCAATTGAATGCGTATCTACCCTTCCATCCATCCAGTATTATTATACAGTCAGTGTGTCATTGACACTTCCTACATTAAAAGTTAATAACCCAAATGTCATATACTGGAAATGTGTTAGTGCTATGTGAATGTACATTATACTGAATTTAGCATATGAACTATTATAGTAATTCCGCCGTTCTTAATTATTTTAAACAATAATTTATCAACAGACTTTTATTTTATTTCTTGGCTCGTCTCCTTTTTAAATGAGATACAGCCATGCTTTACATTTAGTTAAGTCATCTGAAGTGAACCACAATGAAATGGAAATATCATGCACTGTATTGTTATATTTAGCATTGTTGAAGTAATTGTGACAGTTTATAATAACGCATGTATTTGAGGCCATGTTGTGACTGCAGTGTCCTGTGTGTTACTGCAGGAAGAGTCCAGTTTATCCAGACAGACCAGTGAGAGCGGGGGTGCAGAGAGTGAGCCTTCCACGTCCCCCCAGGGAGACTCCTCCTCGTCTGCAGAGCAGCAAGAGTCTGAGGGGCCCCGGGCTGAGCTGGTAGGTGTTACACTGCCCTCCCCACAACATATGACCTGCCTGCAGCCTGCAACATATTTTAGAACGATAGTGTAGTGGCCGATTATCCAAAATACGAAGTTTCAAGGGCACTGAGCCTACAAGGCGATTTTGAGGGTTGACTTTAGTTTAAAACGTCAAAAAACCTCTAATGATAAAGTCACGTTTTGAGGGTTGTATTAACGTAATATTTCATAGATCCCATGGCGTTCCACTTCTGACTTCAACCCTTTAAAGGGCCCATGTCATGCTTTTCCGGTTATTACCCGTCCCCTTGTGTGTTATGAAGGTTTTTCTGCATGTAAACGGTCTGCAGAGTCACAAACCCTCAAAGTACACCCAGTAGCGGGTAAAACTCTAACACAGAAAATACCTGTCTATGCTGCCCCAGAACGCCTCGTTGGAGATTTCTCTTTTTCCATTGTTTGCTTCCTGGGTTCTGTGACGTGTGTCAACACAAATGACCGGATTGCCCCAAATGGACCAATCCGCGGAGCACCTCACACACCAGGATCCCTTGGCTAACTTACAGGGAATCCCCATTGACTTGCATAGAGTTCCCTGGTTGGTAATAGACAAGTTGGGATCGCGGAGAAATGCTCTCCGCAGACCCATTCTTACAGCGTTATAAACCTTTTTCTTACTCAATATCAAGCCACACTTATTGTCTTTACTTCGGCCGGGTAGTGTTTGTGTGTGCTCAGGATGAGTTTCGCTGTGTCTCGCTGTATCACCGACCCGGAAACCTGTCCGCTCCTCACAGCAGCAATGAGCCTCGCAACGTCCCGACCAATCAGAGCACACTGGGCTCACAGGGAGGGGGGGGCAGGAGCTCCAACAAGCCGTTTAGGACAGAGTGAATACATATCAGTGATACAAATTAGTCGCTTTTCGGCGCCTCCCGCTTTTTCAACGCTGATTTGGGTGGCTTCTGTAATTCGTGGAGAATCAAAGAGTTTTCATTTCGGGGGGGAGGGGGGTGTCCAACTCACGGACTGACGGACAACTTCTCACTTTAAAACCAAGACTTTACTTGGGCGGGCCGCCCACTTATAGTCTTTTTACGGCCGCCAAAGTATATTTTTCTATCCATCTGCGAGCACGACTAGTGGACAATGATCCCTCGCTCTACGCCTCCTGTACCTGTTTGCTCTGCTATCGCGTGAAGGGTCTGCTAACAAGCGACCAACAGAAGGCAAACAGAGGAGTCACATGTTGTTGCACATCAGTCATGTGCAAATGCGGCGCACTTCTGCGCTGTAACCCCGCTGCAAGGCTCTGGCGAACTATTACACCAACGCGGTTCCAGGGCCGGTTCGGAGCTAGAGCCTGATAAGCACCCGTGACGTCATGACGCAGCAGCAGCACCAGTCGGTTGCGTAAAGCAGTTAGTAAAGCAGACGTAAAGCAGTAGAAATACCTTCGCAAGCAAAGAAGAAGAAGAAAAACTGAAGCCCTTAAAGTTAAAAGTGTATAATATCTACCTGTAAATAATAATAAAAACCCTTGATTTATAACTTAACATCTCTGTCTCCTGTTGATCTGAGTATATTATAAAGAACAGCCAATTAATTGAAGCATTATACAGTTCTGTTTTATATGAGTGTTGAGAGCTGTATCCATATATCTCTTAATTTCCCCCTCAAATTGCACCAGATTGATGCATTTAACTTCAATTTAAAGAAACAAATCTTTCCGGGGGAGCATGCCCCCGGACCCCCCTAGAGGAGGTGAGGTCCCCCCATAAATAAACAGGTTCATATGGATAGGATACTAGATAAGTTTGCACACTCATTATATATGCTTCATTGCGGAGGACCCCCTGTTTTGTGTTTGTCCCACTTCTTAAACCAAAGTTACACCCTTGATAATATCTACCTGTAAATAATAATAAAAACCCTTGATTTATAACTTAACATCTCTGTCTCCTATTGATCTGAGTATATTATAAAGAATAGCCAGTTAATTGAAGCATTATAGCACAGGCCTTTGTCAGATGGTATATTACGCTGTTTTTTTTCTGCTTCGAATAGTTCTCTCTTTTTTCACCATAACTGTGTTTGCATCACTGACATATACTATACAGAGAAACCAATGTGATTTTGGAAAATTGCACAATAATCTATTCAAGTGGACCTCAACCAGTGTTGTAGTCAAGTCACCAATTCACGAGTCCAAGTCACTCTCGAGTCACCACTCTCCGAGTCCAAGTCCGAGTCACCAAAGGAGTGTCCGAGTCGAGTCCGAGTCATCATTACCTGTGTTCAAGTCCGAGTCCAAGTCTGAGTCACCCAAGGAATGTCCGAGTCGAGTCGGAGTCATCATTACCTATGTTCGAGTCCAAATCCGAGTCACCCAAGGAGTGTCCAAGTCAAGTCCGAGTCATCATTACCTATGTTCAAGTCCGAGTCCAAGTCTGAGTCACCCAAGGAATGTCCGAGTCGAGTCGGAGTCATCATTACCTATGTTCGAGTCCAAATCCGAGTCACCCAAGGAGTGTCCAAGTCAAGTCCGAGTCATCATTACCTATGTTCGAGTCCGAGTCCAAGTCTGAGTCACCCAAGGAGTGTCCAAGTCAAGTCCGAATCATCATTACCTATGTCCGAGTCCAAGTCCGAGTCACCTGAGAAGAGTCCAAGTCAAGTCCGAGTCACAAGTCTTCATGTATTAATCTTTGTGGATATATGTGTTGAAATGTAGCTGCTCCTCTACATTGCTTTTATCCTGTCATGTTATACTAATCTGTTTATTGAACTGCTGTGAAGCGAGTTTGGCTACAATTCTTGTAATAGGTGCTATACAAATATAAAGCTTATTACTAATATTAATATTATTATTATATATAAATAAACTATATTTAAAATGAGTTACCTTTTAGAGAAGTGATTATATTTGTATATTTTGTATTTTGATAGTAATAAGATCGGGACTCTTATTTTGAAGGAACTTTTACCGGTTAAATCGGTTTACTGATAAAGATTTAGCCCCAGAAAACACATGGCTACTTAGCATGCAAAATGACGTAATTCTGCATGTTAAGTAGCCATGTGCTTTCATGTTATCGGCTGAATCTTTATTTATTGATTAGATCACGTTACTCTGATGATAGTTTTCAAGACAGCCTATATGTCTGAACTCGATCCTTAGAGTAATATGTTACGGAGCCTTCTCTTCAATATTGTTTCCACATAACGAGCATTTTGCGCTGCTCTTGTCCAATGTGGAAGCAGAATGTGTGAAAGCATACAGCGGGGTGTGTCTCTAGACATCTCTAGACTGGAATAGCGGGGCCTAGTCCGTGAACTCGCCTCACAGGTGCACATGCCAGGATAGAGGACATCAGACTCCAGAGAAAACTTGCTCGAGTCCGAGTCAGGGCATCAATGTACAAGTCGAGTCCGAGTCATCGTAGGGGGGGAAATTCCAGAGTCCGAGTCCGAGTCCAAGTCAGCGTACGCAATAATTCACGAGTCCAAGTCCGAGTCGCTTCAATCAGTGCGCGAGTCCGAGTCGAGTCACGAGTCCCGAAAATCGGCACTCGAGTCCGAATCCAGGACTCGAGTACTCCATCTCTGACCTCAACAATGGAATTATGATCAGTAGAAATGGCCATGAAATGGGACCTTTAAACTGCATATACAGTGGGGCAAAAAAGTATTTAGTCAGCCACCAATTGTGCAAGTTCTCCCACTTAAAAAGATGAGAGAGGCCTGTAATTTTCATCCTAGGTATACCTCAACTATGAGAGACAAAAGGAGAAAAAAAAATCCAGAAAATCACATTGTCTGACTTTTAAAGAATTTATTTGCTAATTATGGTGGAAAATAAGTATTTGGTCAATAACAAAAGTTAATCTCAATACTTTGTTGGCAATGACAGAGGTCAAACGTTTTCTGTAAGTCTTCACAAGGTTTTCACACACTGTTGCTGGTATTTTGGCCCATTCCTCCATGCAGATCTCCTCTAGAGCAGTGATGTTTTGGGGCTGTCGCTGGGCAACACGGACTTTCAACTCCCTCCAAAGATTTTCTATGGGGTTGAGATCTGGAGACTGGCTAGGCCACTCCAGGACCTTGAAATGCTTAATGCTTCTTACGAAGCCACTCCTTCGTTGCCCGGGCGGTGTGTTTGGGATCATTTTCATGCTGAAAGACCCAGCCACGTTTCATCTTCAATGCCCTTGCTGACGGAAGGAGGTTGTCACTCAAAATCTCACGATACATGGCCCCATTCATTCTTTCCTTTACACGGATCAGTCGTCCTGGTCCCTTTGTAGAAAAACAGCCCCAAAGCATGATGTTTCCACCCCCATGTTTCACAGTAGGTATGGTGTTCTTTGGATGCAACTCAGCATTCTTTCTCCTCCAAACACGTCTAGTTGAGTTTTTACCAAAAAGTTCTATTTTGGTTTCATCTGACCATATGACATTCTCCCAATCCTCTTCTGGATCATCTAAATGCTCTCTAGTAAACTTCAGACGGGCCTGGACATGTACTGGCTTAAGCAGGGGGACACGTCTGTCACTGTAGGATTTGAGTCCCTGGCGGCGTAGTGTGTTACTGATGGTAGCCTTTGTTACTTTGGTCCCAGCTCTCTGCAGGTCATTGACTAGGTCCCCCCGTGTGGTTCTGGGATTTTTGCTCACCATTCTTGTGATCATTTTGACCCCACGGGGTGAGATCTTGCGTGGAGCCCCAGATCGAGGGAGACTATCAGTGGTCTTGTATGTCTTCCATTTTCTAATAATTGCTCCCACAGTTGATCGCTTCACACCAAGCTGCTTACCTATTGCAGATTCAGTCTTCCCAGCCTGGTGCAGGTCTACAATTTTGTTTCTGGTGTCCTTTGACAGCTCTTTGGTCTTGGCCATAGTGGAGTTTGGAGTGTGACTGTTTGAGGTTGTGGACAGGTGTCTTTTATACTGATAACGAGTTCAAACAGGTGCCATTAATACAGTTAACAAGTGGAGGACAGAGGAGGCTCCCGTCTAGGGACGGGTGGCGCAGTGGTCTGTGCGTTTGATAATCAGATCAAGGGGGTGTTGGGGAACTCCAGTTCGAAACCCGCTCCCGCCCCACTGCTTCAGGCCGTCGTGTCCTTGGGCAAGACACTTCACCCGAATTTGCTCCTGTGGGTATTGTCCACAGTACATGTATAATATCAATGTGTACGTGTAAAAGCGCCTCGATGACTTTGAGGTGTGAAGATGGG